AATCTTCCTTCTTATCCTCTTTGCTCTCGAGAATGGGTTTAGATAAATGAAATTCGAGACCAGATATGAAAAGCTTAGGAGAGAGGCCTCCTAAGCTTTCAGATTCTCATAAAAATTCCTCTTTTTGGCAGATAGCCCACCTGTTGCCTTACCGTGTACCATCAAACTAATCTAATTTTCTCAAAGTAGCAGGTACGAGTAACAATTTCTTTTGGTAATCCGGCCGTCTTTCAACTACTTAGCGATGTTTTCTTCTTATCTGTGTTTAAAAATCAATTCTGATGAAAGATTTCTAATATGCAGGGTTTTTTAAAACACTTTTGAGGCCCAGGCCCTAATTTCTTTAATGGAATTATACAGATATTAAAGAAAAATCTTAGTAAGGTGAGGCCCCAAACGTGGCCAAGAGTGATGCTTTTCTGAATAAAGTGTGAAGTTGTTAACACGTTATTTATCGGCGTAGTTAAAAATAGACACGATTCTTCATATGGAAAGAAGATTTATGCATGAAATACTACATAAATTCTTCTATATCTTCTTAAACTAAGAATATTTTCAATGAGTTTTTATTATCTACATAAATTTTATTTCAAATAACAATATGGAGACAGTGATAAATTAGCTTCTTTATTATCACTTTTACTTGCATTGTTATTTTTATTTTTTACATTATTTATCGACATTTTTAACACTATTTTCTCTTACATTTATTGTATTTATCCTTTTAATATGCTTTAAAATTAGTATAAAATAAACAGTTAAAAACAATATATATATTTTTTTATTAATTACACTAAATATAAATGACTTTAAAAAATCAAAGTAAATTTAGCCGAATTGTTGCTATGATAAAAATCTAAAATAATTAATTAATTAAAATTAATTATTTAATTTGGAATTTAAACTAAAAATTAATTATTTCATGGGATAATTAAAACTTAATTTTCTATTAAATTTTGTCAAGTTAAGAAGTAATTTGTTCGATTTTTAAAAGGGATTTAAATCAATTAAATGAGTTAAAAACAGTTAAACATCTTTTGTTTTATAAATTATATTTACTTGTTGATTTTAATATAAAATTATAAGTCCTAAAAATAATTATTAAATAGAAATATTAACAATTATTAAGCTCAAACCCTTTTATCTCTATTGGATGTTTTGATTTTCTATGGTTTATAACAGCAGAAAAAGGGTGGACGACGTAAGAGGGGTCCAAACCCAGATGTTAGATAGAATTTTTTTAATTATATAAAAAGTTATTGATATATTTTTATTGTGTATTCCTATTTAATTTAATTTTATATCTATTAAAAGTTGCTTGGCTTACCCAACCTTGGTTCCACTAGACCCACGTTGGAGGGACGTGAAGCTCTGGAGAGGGGGGATGCTGGAGTCTTTTCTCGGGTCTGGAGAAAAGGATTTTATGTCCCTATAAATTAATGTTATATATATTAATAAACGAATATTTAATTGTTTAAAAACACTGTCAAAAGGTCTACCCAAAGTCTCGAGTATAAGAAACTTATAGGGATTTTTAGAATTATTTTTTGTTTAGGAAAAAATGATTAAAAAAAATACATTATATTAACTAAAACGTCCACTGATTTAGCCTATACAAAAAGTTAATCTAATAATCTTTCCTACATAAAAAATTCGGACATAAAGTCGTCCTGTATTCGATTTTTTTTTGTTTTTTATAAATTAAATTCAAAACTAATAATTTAATAAAACATTTTCTACAGTAATTTAATATTAAATATGTCATTTATCATTAAAACTTATATTTTAAAATATGAATTTTACTTTCCGGCTGTTATATATAAGGGAAAGTATGGCGATCGGTCAAAATCTTAAGATTTTTACATTTTTGGACACAGGGGGACCTTCAAACATCGAAAAATGTAAAAAAAAAATTCGATTTTTTTCATGTATATATGGGCGTTAATGTGTGTGTTCGGGTAACACGATTTCGTTTACCCATTTTGAAGCTCAATAACTCCTGTGCCCTTTGTCGTAAATTTCTAAAATTTTGCGGGTATGTTTGTGTATTAGACGGACAGGTGCTGTTAAATTTTGGTGGTTTTAGGTGGCCGGAGTAGGGAGATACCGAGGTTCATACCTTATATTTTTAATGGATTTTTTTATATAAGAAACGAATATTCTGTCATTTAATGAAGGTGTTTTTTACTTAAAAGTAAAAGGAAACTATTTACAAAAATTTGTAATTCTCGATGAAAAAATTATTTCAAGAAGTAAATACTAATGCATATTTCATTGATTTTCAAGGATAAATTTAATTCAGAATGCATATTTTAATAAATTTATTTAAAAAATTCTAGTTAACGTATATTCATGTTATACGGTGGAACCTGCAATAAAGGCCACCTCTAAGTAAACGGTGGCCTTTTTAAAAATGAGTACAACGTAACCTCCAAACAACGACCACGTTTGATGTTCGTTGTGGTCGTGGTTTACAGGTTTGACTGTAGTAGTTGCTGTAATTAAATACAGATAAATTACAGGAATTTTGTACCGTAAATCTCTTTACGATTGAAAATTTTTCTTAAATTTCTCTAATTAAAATGTATTTAATAAAGTAAAACATGTAAATTGATTATATTTAAATAAGTTTAGAAATATTATTTAATTACAATGTTGATTGTATTAACTTCATCTTTTTCCTATGTAATTTCCCATTAGGCTATTCAGATGATGATGGGATTTGCAATTGGATAATACTTGAAAAGACAATGCCATATTGTTATATTAATTACGAATAATTTAACTACAAGAAGAGACTTTTATAAAATAATTATAGATAAGAAGAATTAAAGGAAAATAAAACGAAAAATGTTACCTTTATAGCACAGATTCCTTTATATTGCTTTAAAGTAGACTTATTTATTTACGTTTCTTGACGAGAAAAGTTAATTTACCTCTTTATAAGAACTCGTTCTTGATTAAAACGTGTATTTTTTTTATCGTTTCGATGTTAATCAAAGTTTCTGTTTTTAGAAATTGAGAAATAAACTTATATTATATAAGTGAATGAACGTTGTTAATTAGGAAAGTTATTTTAAATAAAACTTGAAAAAAGTACGAAGATTATAAATGTTTTAAAATATTGAAAATATTGAAATCTTTACTCAAAGTTTCATTTAATCAAGTTAAAGTTATTTTAGTAAAAATATTGAAAGAATGAAATTCTATATCTGTAGTAAATCGCTGATAATTTGGTCGTAGGTATGCGCCTCAACAACGTGGTTTTCCTGGTTTTATTTACGTGTTTAACATCTCAACAGGGACCCATTTCCTATAGAAAGAATACCTAATCAGGAGTCCGTCTTCCATTGAAAGAGCACTTAAAGAAACCTAAACAATAGACAGTTTTTCATAAAAAGAACACCTAAACACAGACTAATATCCCCCCAAAAAAAGCCCACACGTGTTGCGTATCCCATCAAACCAAACAACTTGTATTAAACATATAAAGTTATTTAAAAGATTACCTAAAATTATTTCATGTATTGAAAGATTTATATACACGTAATGGCTTCTTTAATAAACTCGAAAACTTACTTTTATCATATCTATAAATATTCTATCTTCTCTTAATAACATCCATATGTCAATAGTATATATATATATATAGTCTATTTTATTTCTATATAAAAGAATTTGCTCTCTGTATATTGTCTATGGGTGGTTATGACGTCAAAACATCATATGAGGTCTTCCTCACTCAAACTCCAACAACAATATTTGTACACTGTAGACACAGAGACGTGTGCTTTGTGTTATAAAATTGAAAACGTATCTATATAATAAATGTATCGTATTTTTATTTATGTTTTTTTTATATAAATTAAAATTTGAAAATTACATTTTACTCGTGAAAAATGCAAGAAAATTATTCGTTTTATTATATTCGTTAAAATTAATACTCAGAATAAGCATAATTTGTTCACTTTTGCTATGGGTGGTCTTTAAATAACATTAATTTTAATCGTTAGGCAGTGCAAAATATTAAAAAACTTGAAATATTTTTTATGTAGACGTTTTTTGGTATTAAATATCAATTTTTTTCTAGTTTCATACGTAAACAACATTCCAAAATTGCGGTTTATATAACGCTGAGCTATGACATAAATCTGTCAATGTAACCCAAGAGTGCAATATCAAATATGAGTTTATTGAATTTTCCTTCCATAAAGCTTCTAAGTTCATAGTAAATTAAGCTATTATAATAATTACTCTTCAGTAAAATTTACTTACGTATGCAAAATGAATGGTTTATTATGAAAAATAAATTCGTGTTTCCACCTAATCATTTCGCTTCTATGTAACAGAAACTTCCACAATTATGATAATTGCTTTTAAATATTTAATTGTGATGAAAGGTACGAATAATTTATTAAATTTACAGAAAATTTCGTTAAAATATTAAACTTATAGTAAAGAAGAGAGAGAGAGAGATGTTAAACTCGCGAATAATGAAAACATTTTTAAAAAATGGTCGTTATTTGCAGGTTATTCTGGTGTATTTTTATTCAAATAAAGCTTCCGAAAACTTTACAGGTTGGAGATTACAATGTATTTAGAATTTTACCCTTTTCTCCTCACTTCTGTTTCGAATAGGATTCATCCCAAGCTGCACTTAAACACAAACTAATGAGTTTATTCTTAAAAAAGAGTTTATTCTATCTTAACGCGATTTTATATATTAAAAAACAAGCATAAATTATTGTAAATTAATTAAATTCATAATAATTTAATACACAATTAAAATATATGCTCTCCACCTCAAATTAGTAGTGTCTTGCCCCTGTACATCATACTTTTCCTGATAACAACACAGTCGTACAGTCGATTAATTATATTTTCCAACTGTTAAAAAATTATAAAAAATATCGATTTTATTACTCAATTAATTAGTGAAAGACACGAAAATTTATTGTATTTATTTATTTTATTATTATTATTATTTTCTATTTTTACAGATTCATTAAAATGGATTAAAGAAAAGAAAAAAAAACTTCTTGACGTTTACATTTTTCGATATGCTTCATTAGCATCTGTTTAGTTTGATTTGTTTTTCTTCAAATTGGAGATGTAGCAACGAGTTTAAAAGGGAAGAAAATCGAAAAAATAAATAAATAAATAAAAAATGACTAATTTAAGTCTGTCAGAGGTGGAAGATTGGCTGGATGCTAATCCAGAAAGCGTGGCTGATTATTTTATACGTAAAGCAGACATTGATCTGATTAATCGCTGGTTAATGGCACACGGTTTCTTAACAATCAGAGATTACGTCAGTTCAAGAAGAGGTTCGACAACTCTCAATAACAGCGAGGAAGATTCGCCAGTTGAGAAGAATTCTGGATACTTCAGCGATGGAGGTGATGCAGCAAACAAGAGGAACAACTCGAAGAAAGCTCTAAGGCAAGATTTCGCCAGATCGAAAGCCAGGACTGTTTTTAAGAGAAACGAACCTCTAAGTCAAAGTGCTGATACGCATACAAGAAGGAATAGCCTGAAGGATATGAGGAAATTTTTATCACTTCCCTCTCGTTCGATTCATATATTAAATCTACTGATCGAATCTAAAATCCGTCTACCTCGGTTACCGTCGAGATGCATGGAATCCAAACGTGAATTAAGAGACACAAACGAAAGGCAATTTTTTCTAGAAATCGTTGAAGAAATCGCTCACGACTTAGACGTTAAGAGCCTAAGCCAAAAGATTATTGTTAATTTATGCGTGTTGTTGGATTCGGATAGGGCATCGCTGTTTTTAGTCGAAGGACCCAAATCTCATCAGTGCTTGGTTTCGAAAGTATTCGATGTCCATTGCGGGACCAGTTTGTTGCTACCGAGTGTCACTGACGATAGCGAAATTAAAGTACCGTGGGGGAAAGGAATTATCGGATACGTCGCAGAAACGGGAGAAACTGTTAATTTAATTGAAGCCTCCGAGGTAAGTTTGGATTTAACGACAATTTTGTTAGATTTTTAACTTGAAATTTTATGGTCGTTGCATTAGGATCCAAGATACGACGACGAGGTCGATAGAATTCGTGGATATTCCACAAATACTTTATTATGTATGCCCGTTAGAAATGCGGATGATGAAGTGATCGCGGTTGCACAAGTCATTAATAAGTCACCCATGTCTGGATGCAATAGGTTTGTAGAGGAAGACGAAAAGGTAAAACCGCATATTTTTCGAGTAAATTTAAACAAAACTTTCGTCTTTCTTGGAATAAAAGAAAAAAGGATCTAAGTGCGTGTAAATTGATTTATTTCTTTTAGCTTTTCCAAACGTATCTACAATTCTGCGGAATTGCATTGACTAATGCGCAAATATTCGATTTATCTAGGAAGGAGTACGAAAGAAATAGAGTAAGTAAATAAAATAAATTGTTAAATAAATCAATTTGTTTTTAAGTAAAATCTTTTATAAGCAACTCATGGCTGGATTTTTACTTTTCCGGCTGTTATATATAAGGGAAAGTATGGCGATCGGTCAAAATCTTAAGATTTTTACATTTTTGGACACAGGGGGACCTTCAAACATCGAAAAATGTAAAAAAAAAATTCGATTTTTTTCATGTATATATGGGCGTTAATGTGTGTGTTCGGGTAACACGATTTCGTTTACCCATTTTGAAGCTCAATAACTCCTGTGCCCTTTGTCGTAAATTTCTAAAATTTTGCGGGTATGTTTGTGTATTAGACGGACAGGTGCTGTTAAATTTTGGTGGTTTTAGGTGGCCGGAGTAGGGAGATACCGAGGTTCATACCTTATATTTTTAATGGATTTTTTTATATAAGAAACGAATATTCTGTCATTTAATGAAGGTGTTTTTTACTTAAAAGTAAAAGGAAACTATTTACAAAAATTTGTAATTCTCGATGAAAAAATTATTTCAAGAAGTAAATACTAATGCATATTTCATTGATTTTCAAGGATAAATTTAATTCAGAATGCATATTTTAATAAATTTATTTAAAAAATTCTAGTTAACGTATATTCATGTTATACGGTGGAACCTGCAATAAAGGCCACCTCTAAGTAAACGGTGGCCTTTTTAAAAATGAGTACAACGTAACCTCCAAACAACGACCACGTTTGATGTTCGTTGTGGTCGTGGTTTACAGGTTTGACTGTAGTAGTTGCTGTAATTAAATACAGATAAATTACAGGAATTTTGTACCGTAAATCTCTTTACGATTGAAAATTTTTCTTAAATTTCTCTAATTAAAATGTATTTAATAAAGTAAAACATGTAAATTGATTATATTTAAATAAGTTTNGGGAAAGGAATTATCGGATACGTCGCAGAAACGGGAGAAACTGTTAATTTAATTGAAGCCTCCGAGGTAAGTTTGGATTTAACGACAATTTTGTTATATTTTTAACTTGAAATTTTATGGTCGTTGCATTAGGATCCAAGATACGACGACGAGGTCGATAGAATTCGTGGATATTCCACAAATACTTTATTATGTATGCCCGTTAGAAATGCGGATGATGAAGTGATCGCGGTTGCACAAGTCATTAATAAGTCACCCATGTCTGGATGCAATAGGTTTGTAGAGGAAGACGAAAAGGTAAAACCGCATATTTTTCGAGTAAATTTAAACAAAACTTTCGTCTTTCTTGGAATAAAAGAAAAAAGGATCTAAGTGCGTGTAAATTGATTTATTTCTTTTAGCTTTTCCAAACGTATCTACAATTCTGCGGAATTGCATTGACTAATGCGCAAATATTCGATTTATCTAGGAAGGAGTACGAAAGAAATAGAGTAAGTAAATAAAATAAATTGTTAAATAAATCAATTTGTTTTTAAGTAAAATCTTTTATAATAAAAAAGTTATAAAATAATATTCCTTAGTCTTTATTAGAAGTGGTACACGATTTATTTGAAGAGCAAACGTCTTTAGAAAAAGTTATATTGAAAATTATGCAAAGGGCACAAAAGTTATTAAAATGTGAAAGGGCAGCTGTACTTTTATTAAGAGAAGATACAGATGATGATGTAAGTTAATATCCTGTAATAAATCATCGTAAAAGAATTAAAAATTATATTAAATGTTTTTTTAAATATTAAGTAGAATCTTCTTAAAGCACGAAGATAACTTCAGTTAATTAAAACATAACGTTTAATTGCATCATTAACATTTAAAATAAAGAATTCTTGAAGTAGTAATGATGAATCTGTTGTAATCAATAGTGTTTTTTTTTTTCCTTCCTGCTTGTAACTGCATTGACAGTACATTAATTAGAAATTTTTTTTTCCTTTTGATACTCTTTTAATAATTTTTTAATGAATTAAATTTAATAAATCATAAATATATTTATTGTTTTAAGTGTAATAAATATAATTTATAAATTTTTAATAATATTTATAATTTAGATTGTCAAATTTTCAAGAACATTTGATTTGACTTCTCCTTCACAAGGCAATCACGTTACAAATTTTGGGTAAGTTTATTAATAACTTTTATGAGAAGATAATTATCTTCTCATAAAATTCACCTTCTCATAAAGGTCACCTTTATTTTGAAACTCTTCTCCGCCTCAATATGCAAAAATTGTTTTAAAAAATTGCCATTTTTAGGCAATTTTTGCTGATAAAGAGCCTCAAAATAAAGGGGTATAAAGTTCTCCCTGTAGTGTTACAGGATCATTGTGAAGACTTTTCTATCTCTTCTACACTTGAATTTTAGATAGATTTATATTTTCCAGGTTCATTTTCAATAATTTATTCATTAAATATTAAAAATTTCTTTTGGGTAAATGCAATTTCTTAGTATAAACGATCGATAGTAAATGGATTTCTGATAAACATTTTAAGGATATGACATAAACGTGGAGACTTAATTATAGATATTTCGGGAAGTAATATATTTATATAGGTCGATATTTGCTCGTCTCTTCCAATTTCCGATTAGATTGATGCATTTTAATGAGTAGAAGATCTTATACTTAATTGATTATTAATTCAGAACTTAGTTCGAACCAGTTTATATAAGTAAATGCATATAAGTTAATTATGTATGTGTTAAAATTTCTTCATCAAGATCCAAAAGATGGCCAGAATTGCAGACATCATCTGGACTTTTAAAAATTGCCGAACGTGTAGCTTTGTCGGGGGAAGTATTAAACTTAACAGATCCACCTGAAGTAAGTCTATTGATATATAATTAATTTAATAAAATTATTTTATTAATATTAATATTTTAAAGGTTCAGCAAACTGCAGGAAGACATATTAGTTCGCTATTGTGCATGCCAATTAGAAACAGAGAAAATAAAATAATAGGTAAGGTTAATTATGAGGTATGCTATTATACTTTCAATTGAATATATGTAATGTTTATAAGCATATAAAAATATTTGAAATTTTTAGTCGAATTTAGTGGAGTTTATAAGCCATATCTCGTATAAATTTTTGAAAATTTATACGAGATATTGTAACATTCTTTTAGATTTACTTTAAAAATACCTCTCAGAGGAGAGTAAAAGCAGAATACTTCTTATACTTTTGTTTTATTTCTTAAGATAATAAAATTCTTTGTTTTGAGAGAAATTCTAAACTCGAATAGAATTTTACCTCTTACTCTATAAAAATAGAAGGGCTTTTTCTACTTTGATCGGTTCGAATCGAAGCATCTTTCGATCAGAAATGTCGAAAATGATTTTATACGTTCGATTTCTTTTCTATTTTCACTCTTACAACGGGGGATTTGTGCCGTCTACATTCAATTTTTAAGCGCTTTTGAAAAAAATCGATTACCATTTTCTGTTTGTAAGTCTGTCAGTCAGCGTGTACTTTACTTTTTTATTTATTTTGGCTATAAAATTCAAATTTTCTGAATATTTCCGATTGGTTACGACTACGTTCGATCGATAGACCACACGATTACGTTTCTTCATCGTTTCAATTGGAATTATTTAACTTTTCCCCCTCATATTTATCACATTTGATTTATACTTCACGTTCGCTTTAATAACGCAAATGCCATAATTACTAATTAAATTATTTTATTCTCTAATAATACATATCACAATATGGTACGTACTGTACGTACATATATTTATTTTTAATTTAAATTGATTGGAGCTAACGGCTATTGGTGGAAGATGTGTTTGTCTTAACGGCTATTGGTGGAGATGTGCTTGTCTTAACAGCTATTGGTTGGAGATGTGTTTGTCTTAACGGCTATTGGTTGGAGATGTGTTTGTCTTAACGGTTATTGGTTGAAATTTGAACTTCTTGTTAATAACGATAATTGCTTCAAAATTACATTGTGTTTGCAGGTGTATCAACAATTATCAACAGATCAGATGGAATGCCTTTTGACGATTACGATGAACAATTATTTGAGGTAAAATTAACATTATTAATTCTATTATTATACGTTTATATATACTGTACTGTACATTATTCATTTTCAGGCTTTCACGTTATTCTGTGGTTTGGGTATCAACAATACACTTATGTACAGCGAACTGGATAGAGCTATGGCGAGGCAAAAAGTAGCATTCGAGGTAAAATCTATAATATACATGTTAAAATTGATAATTTAATTACAGACTTGACTTTTACGTTTTAATATACAATTTATTCTCAGGTGATTTCATATCATGCTACAGCTTGTCAAGACGATGTGAATAAAATTTTGGTAATCAAAATCAATTAAATACGCTGTGTTTTTAATTTATTTTATAAATTTTACATAAAAGTATTTTATTTTAAAGGCTACAACGATACCAGAAATGGAAGAATTAAATTTGAACAGTTTAAAATTTGATGACTTTTCTTTAAATTCTGAACAAATGATTTTAGCATCTATACGAATTTTCTCAGAATTAGGATTAATTTCTAGGTTTAATATAGATTATGAGGTAAAACTTTATATTATCTACGCATTGAATAAACATTTATAAGTGTAATTTATATATTTACATTATGTTTTAGGCGTTGTGTATGTTTCTATGTACCGTGAGGAAGAACTATCGAAACTTGCCATATCATAATTGGCGTCACGCTTTCAACGTATGCCAAGTTATGTTTGCAATATTTACTGTAAGTAATTATATTTAAGTAAATCTATATTAATTATTTTTAAAAAATTAATTAAAATATATCTATTTGGCAGAAATGCAATCTCAAAACTATTTTCTCTGATTTTGAAATGTTGGGAATGATTGTAGGATGTCTTTGCCATGATCAATTTATTCATTAAATATTAAAAATTTCTTTTGGGTACAAACAATTCTTTCCAAGAAAAGTATGTGATAATATGAATTAAAAATGATATTTTTATAAAATTATACTTTATAAAATATATTTTATACCATACAGAAGTGGCTCAGCTTTAGCATTATTATATGGTAATAAAGGAACGATGGAGCATCATCATTTTAATCACGCTGTCATGATATTAACTAGCCAGGTAAAGATAATTTACGAAATTCAAAAACATTTTTATAATTTCATATATTTTTTAAAAATATACGTATATTTTTTTCAGAACAAAAATATATTTTCTTCTTTATCATCCGAAAAATATAGCATCGTTATGAATATATTAAAACAAGCAATTTTAGCAACCGATTTATCAACTTATTTTCAGTGAGTAAATGTATAAATATAAGCTAATAATTTAATTATACTTATAACAGTTCTAGTGATAATTCTTCTTGAACAGGTCCAGAACTAAATTCTTTTCTTTGGTTGATAATTGTGAGTTTGATTGGTCCGATGAGGATCATAGAGCACTTGTAAGAAACATGTTAATGACTGCTTGCGATTTAGCTGCTAGTACAAAACCCTGGCAAGTTCAGTACAAGGTAAATGTAATTTTTTAAGTATAAAAGAAGTTTTTATATCCGAAAATAACTTTATTTTATGTCCCTTTTTTAAGATAGCTGAACTTGTTACGAGCGAGTTTTTTGATCAAGGAGATAAAGAGAAGATGCAGCTGAAAATACAACCACAGGTAAGATATAAAATAAATTTCTTTCAATGTATAAAAATCTAATAAATTATAAAGTATAGTTTCTTTTACACGAGTAGAAATAAATAATATATAATTTAAATTATTAGGCATTAATGGATCGTGAAAAGAAACACGAACTTCCTCAACTGCAATATCGTTGGATAGATACAATATGTTTACCATTATACAGGGTAATTACTTTTTTTAAATTTTATTGTCGTCCGTTTGTTTTTCATACGATTTTATGTATTTTTCTCAGGCATTATCTAAAATTAATCCAAGATTTATGGAAATGGTGGATGGAGCAGTTGCCAATAGAGAAATGTGGGCAGCTATAGCGGCACAGAATATCTCAGAATCTAGACCGAAATTAACAAATGGGACTTCTGAGGTGTATATAAAAGAGACAGGTGTATGACAAAGATGGTCGTCTCCGTACCTCAGTTGGTGTTGTTTTATGTAAATAGCTGAGGAAAATACGGGACTACGAGGAAGAAAAAAATAAAATAAAATTGCCAGTAAGCCTATGCGTGCCTTGCATGATGCAAGAAGAAGACATTTCAAAGCAATGAGTATTCCTAGTAATAAATATTATACGAAAAAGAATGTTCTATATTAATACATTATATCTAATCAAATATTGTAATTAATTCTTTTACTAATAATGCTACCAAAGCGTTTTATTACTACGCTATTTTAAACAACAGAATAAGATTTTTTTTCCATATTATCTAGAATTATAATACGCCCAATGCATCATTAACGACAATGAATACGCTATATAACGCATAATATAGGTTGTTTTATATATCTTATACCTAAATAAGCGGTATATACGCCTATATACTTAAATAGTTAACCATAAAAGTCATGTAAATAAATAGAGAGATAAAATGGATTTTAATTAATTTTTTCAGATAATTATAATCGCAGCAATGACATTTATCTCATGCTTTTTGTATACCCCAAGCTAATACATTATTTACATGTTGCATAAATCTTATGTAAATATTCTGCAGAAGTCTTGTGAAGGTGATGCAACAGTAAAGTATAAAATAGCACAAGATGGAGGAGTTTTGTATTAAGAAATAATATATATTTCCTTTAAAATATTTTTAAAAATAACTCTTCGATATTTAAATATNCTAGGAAAGCTCAGGGGCCTCGGCTCCTTACCTTTATAAATTAGGAAAAAAATTAAATAGGATTGGAGAAAGATTTGTATATTACGAACACACTTATACAATAGTCAAGGATTTACTCTTCATCTATATCAATAGTGGCTACCTCTACAGCTACTGTATTTTGGCCCCCTTTTAATATCTGTTTAATTAGCCTACCCTACCCTAATTACATCTATAATATAATTTGATAAATTTAGGATACATTACACGGTAAATTTCTATGCGATATGTCCTTAATTTATCGCAATTTTTACTTTGAATTTTTTGTTTATTAGCATCTTTCATACGTGAAACATTTGTATTTTTTTTTTTTTTTTAATTTACTAAGTTACTTGAAGAAGAAATTCTAATAAACTCACTTAATATATGCTTGAAAGCATTGGGAATAGAAAAATTCAATAAATTCTTATTTGATATTGCACCCTTGGGTTACGTTGACAGATTTATTCCGTTATATAACTTAACCCGCAATTTTGTTTATTTACTAAAGTAAAATTTTGACTTTATACTGAAAATTTCTGTCTTAACTATCAATCACATTTTGAATTAACGTTATAAGAACTTTATCTAAATCTAAACATAACTTTTTATAATGACATAAATAAGTTTTTTAAGTAAAGAAATAAAAATAAGTACATAAAACTGTCATCTTATGAGATTTTCAATGATGTATAAAAGAATATACTGTATTTACCTGCGTATAATACTCACCCCTTTTTCAGATTAATAATTACTTAGTTATAGTTATGAGTAAAATGGCGTAAAAGATCGTTCAATCAATTATTTAGACATAACAGATGTATTTAGAATGTATTTATTCACAAGAAATTCTTAATTATGCCTTTAGAAATTACTACAACTCTCAATTTAGCGTGAAGGAAACTTTCTCATTATTTCTAATTTAAACTTCAGTTAAAGTCATTGGGATTTGTTAAAATTCTATTCGTATAATGGAAAATCCATGCATATATATATATAATAACTAAATAAGTTTATATTTATTTGCTAATATATTATTTAATCAAAAGTTATTGTTTCATTTAATAAAGTTTGCTTTCTCTAAAATAATGAGAGATTAACACGAAAAATGTATTAGTTTGCTAAGATTATTGTGTATTATAGAAAGAATACAATAATTTATTTATTTATATTTTATTTTCTATTCAGAAATTAATATTTTATGTAATGTATTAATTGTATGCTTGAACAAATTTAATTAACACTCTATTGTTTTTTTTGATTAAATTCGCAATCTACTTGAAAAAATTTATGTATTTTTTTTAAAGTATACGTAATTTAAAACATTATGAAGTAAATTTTTAATGAATTTTTTAATCTTTACAATGAACAGCTTTTATTTTTTTTAATTAAAAGGTATTACAATATATTATACCGTTTATAAGATCCACCCTGTTTGTATTTTTGAAGTATTAATAAAAAAGGAAGTATTTATAGAGGAAAGAAATCTTTACTTTTCTTTCATGCATTCTGTGGGATTTTTCTGAAATATTTTAAGTCCTGGATCGATTTTAGTAGGATTTAAATTGTAGTTATGGATAAGAGAACGAAAGAAATATGTTAAATTTTATATAAATTTAAATACAAATTTTAAATATTATAAAAAAAAAGTTATGTATTAAAATTAATAAACCTTGTATAACTGTAAACATTTAGATATTTTTAAGGCAAATAAATTGTTCAAACGTATGGAATGTAATAATAATTGAAGAAGAGCCTATACTACTTTTGTAATGGACTATTAATGTATTGTTATGTCGTTTGATTTAGATTTTAAAACTGATAATTTGTTTAGGAAATTAATTAAGTGTCTTGTCTTATGAAATAACTTTATTTTTTAAATGTTACAACATTCTAATTCTCTAATTATCGAAGACGAGAGAATGGATTTAAACGTATTGATGGAATAAGACTGCTCAACACATGGGCAATCCCTAAAAGGGGGTACTTCAGGAGGAACTTTCTATGAGAAATTGGGCCGTATTTAAGTGTTAGATACGTGAAGAAAACCCAGAATTTCTGACAACATTTCTGATTAGGAAATGTGCTAATAAAATGCTTATCCTCTTCGTTTTGTATTAATAAATTATATTTAGATGCGAAGAAATTATTAAAATATACTGTTCAATTTTCAAATTTTCTATAGAAATTAGAGTTATCAATTTTATAAATCTTTATTTAACTTTTCTGAGAGAGTAGAATTAACGTTTTAAATGCCATTTATGAAGTACAAAGCTGGGATGATGGAAGGATAAAAGCTTGATTTAACAATGGCGTGGAATTCAAATAAGATGATTATGTGAAGAGTTTATGTATTAAATACATGATAAATGTTCTGTAATAAAGTTTATTGACAACAAAACAAATGAATAATGACATTAACAGTTAATTCGTTGTTCTGCTTATAAAGGCATGGAGGTAATTTTGTTCATTTTTAATTTTATATAGTGTTTTATTTTATATTATTAAAAGTTTTCTTTAAAATAATATAATATAAATAAGCTATAAATATAACATGCAGATGTTTTTTATCAGCAATTTAAGTGCAGTTAATTATTTAATTTTAATATAAAAAAGCAAACAAAACTGTAAATATATCCATTTAAATAGACATGTCCTTGTGTTTTATTTCTTAATTTTTATATTTTTCTGCTGGCTATTTGTGTTATTATATAGTTTAGATTGCATTTCTAATACCAGTAGCGTAACTAGGAAACCGCAGGGGCCTCGGCTCCTTACCTTTATAAATTAGGAAAAAAATTAAATAGGATTGGAGAAAGATTTGTATATTACGAACACACTTATACAATAGTCAAGGATTTACTCTTCATCTATATCAATAGTGGCTACCTCTACAGCTACTGTATTTTGGCCCCCTTTTAATATCTGTTTAATTAGCCTACCCTACCCTAATTACATCTATAATATAATTTGATAAATTTAGGATACATTACACGGTAAATTTCTATGAGATATGTCCTTAATTTATCGCAATTTTTACTTTGAATTTTTTGTTTATTAGCATCTTTCATACGTGAAACATTTGTATTTTTTTTTTTTTTTTAATTTACTAAGTTACTTGAAGAAGAAATTCTAATAAACTCACTTAATATATGCTTGAAAGCATTGGGAATAGAAAAATTCAATAAATTCTTATTTGATATTGCACCCTTGGGTTACGTTGACAGATTTATTCCGTTATATAACTTAACCCGCAATTTTGTTTATTTACTAAAGTAAAATTTTGACTTTATACTGAAAATTTCTGTCTTAACTATCAATCACATTTTGAATTAACGTTATAAGAACTTTATCTAAATCTAAACATAACTTTTTATAATGACATAAATAAGTTTTTTAAGTAAAGAAATAAAAATANTTTTTTTTTATTTTTACTTTTTACACTTCACTATTCACTTTTTACTTTTTACTTTTTTTCTGTTATTCGTACACTTTTACTTATGAAAAATCAACTAAAACGGTGCGTCACACGTCTCCAAAAGTAATCCCCACTACTCACACATAACGGTCCTCGACTATTCCAAAACATTTTCGACTATTCGAAAACATTTAAGATTAAGATTAAGATTACATTATAGCCAATCTTACCCGTTTTCACAGAATGCAAAAATTAAGTCCCCCGTTTCCAGACTAATTAAAGAAATTTTACATAGGTCTAAAAATATGTTCGATTTTCCTCAAAAACGCAAAAAACCACATCTGCGCCTGTAAATCTTGCATGTCGCTTTCTCTTAACACTTCAATTGTTACTTAACCACTTCCATTGTTAACAATGGAAAGGGAATTTCGAAAAATCCCTTCTTAGTGTACATTCTCGTGACGTACCCTATTAAAACGTAATCAAAAACTCAAAAAACCGCATCTAAAATAGTATAATAGAAACCGAGTTCTTCATGTGAAGCCTTAATCTTGTCCTTCTCTCCCGCGGGGGGGAATTTCGAAAAATCCTTTTTTAGTGTACGTTCTCATGACGTACCCTAACTGTGTACCAAATTTCAACCTTCAACTCCTAACCGTTTGGGCTCTGCGCTTCTTATTATTATTCGGAGTGGCTATTTCAAAGGGCAATTTTGACAACTAAAAATAATATTGTCGACGATATAAACTTTAATATTCAAAAGAAAATTCAGAACTGGCAAGAGCTTTCCCACTTTTAAGTTTGGGCATCGTATAAAATATAAATCAAATCAACATTTTATTAACAAATACACTAAGTACACTTTACACAGTTTTCACACTTTATTTTCGATTTATATTCAGTCACTGTATCACTTTGACTACTCACACTTTACTGTTTGCTTTTATTCACTCGCTGCACTACTTTTTCGGTTCTTCCCTTCGTCACTGGATAAGAAACCGACGTTCGAACCCACGACGGATCTTGATTTATATATACCCCACCAATGTGTAGTCCCACCCACACAAAAAAGGATTCGAATGGTCCATAATGTTCCAGAACATTCCACAACATTCGAGAGTGTTCTGGAATGTTCCACAATGATCTGGGATGTTGTGGAATGCTCTCGAATACTCTCGAATGTTCTATAATTTCTAGAGAGCTACCACACCATATAACTCCCTTTATCGTGCCGGGACTCGTTTTTGAGTTTTAGCGGCACACACATTGTACACTTACCTTTATTATATATATATTGATTATGGTAAAGTCCATTTGGACTGATGATAACTGCCCCAATTTTAAAGGGAAAATTTATGAGTTTTTGACTTATTTCTGTCATTTGTTTCCTTCTATTTTATTATTACTTGTTTTAATTGCGAGTAGAGACTTTTAGATGTGTTAAAATAGCACCATATCTCTTATGAATATAAGATATGCTACTTTAGTCATCAAAATAATTCGTTTGTTTATGAAATATAAAATCGATAT